TAAGCACAATGTTTACGGAAAACTGCAAACGACAAAATGAAACTTTTGCCATCTCTCTTCAGCTCTTTGTACAGCACAGCTAAATTATTTGTATTTGTGGGGAGTTGTTGGAGATGTTTTTCTATTTCTGTGTAATCTATTTAAGGATTAGAAGAAAGAAACTGAAAATCAACTTGGTAGATTTTGCTGTTTGCTGTGAACTCAAAATTGTGTTCATATACATTGTATATCATCAACTACACGTAAGTGTTCATGTATTCTAATGCTAATTGCTTCCTTTTTTATACTGTGTGATGTTTCATCTACTATGTTTAGGAGGCCATAAAGTTCAGTACTTTTCACTAGGAGCCAGGGGTTCCAAATTACTGTGGGTGTACAGCCTTTTCTGCCTTATATACATGTACTGTATGACTCATTTTGATCTTCTCGTTTTTGCTTTCAGCTTCGTTCAGTTGAAGAGACTACTCAGGCTATGGCTTTTGATGGGATCATCCTAGAGGTACAATTTAACAGCTTTGTCATGTACATTTCTCTATAGTTATGTGTAGTAATCCGTGTGACAGTATACAGTGTACAGTCAGAATACAATTTCCTGCTTATTGTGTGTTTTGGAAGCTAAAACCCAAGTACATGTACTCAAGAAACAATGTGGGCTTGACAGTAAACCTGGTGTCAGAGCTTGAAACAAAATATCGAAAATTGCTTAATTTAGTGGCATGGTAAAATATAACTTTTTGTACATTTGCTACAGGTTAAATATACATAATTGTTAATATGTATCCATTATAAATGCAGAAAAGGTTCTTGTTTGCTTGCTACTGATGGAGCTGGCAGACAAATCTGAGCTCTCATTACTTGTACGATAGTAGTGTACAGCAAGAGATCTGTGAAGCTTTGCTCTGAGTATAAACAAAAATTGTAAATGTAGTTGTACATGTAATACAGTTTTGAAAGCTTCATCAACCTGCAAGGCTGCTGCCTAACGGGCGCCCGGTCGCCTGAGGCACCTAAGTTACGAGTGCGGGCGACTAAAGTTTTGTTCAAGGAGCCCGAGTGGACGCCTAAACATAGAGTTTACATTCCCATGTAATCTGTCCGCTGACTTCAATCTTCTCATGAAATCGGTCAAAAAATCATTCACACAATAAATCACACGAAAAACAACAGCTACTTTGGTCCTGTTTTGCTTTTATCACGAGAAATCTGGGCAAAAACACGGCAACAAAGTCTCTCTCCGCTCACAAAACAGTCGAAAACAGCCATATCTGAAAATCGCCCTATAATGCATTGCAACCTCAGTATTGAATAAATGTACATCATGTATGCCAATGGATTGTGTCTCTGTTGATGCCTTACTGATTCCAAGTTGCAAAATAACTACTNAATGCTCAGGGGGCAAATACATACTAATTTGCCCCTGAGCATCCCATAATAGCTATCTGAAACAATGGATTCAGAAAAGCTGCTGTATTGCTAAAAAGGTCTATTATAAACATTTTCTGGATACATTAATTTAATTCGATTTTCTCAAAAAGATGATAGAAACTGGTCATTTCACCTCATTAGGGACCAGTAACTGTTTGTCATTTAATTGTGTTGCAAATTTTTGATTTTTTTTCCAAAATGATCAGTGACTAATATCATTACACTGTAAAAGTAAAGGGATGAGAACAAGTAAATCATCAAATAGAAAATATAGTCCTGATGTACCACCAAACTCTCAAAACCTATGTTAAAAGGAATGTATGATAATTAGTAAAGAGAATCTGTATTTTGAGCATGGGGCTGAAAGGAAAAACTTTCTTTGTTTCTCCAGGTTAGCAGCAGAGGCTCTGTGTTAGCCTCATGTTCCAGTGATCTCAGTGTTGGAATATGGAGACCCAAGAGCATGCGACCAGGGTCGGCCTGAGAATATAACGTTGATATATGACTTATAACACGACTGCAACGTACATTTATCCATTCGTCTGTAAATAGCTAAAAATGACTCAAGTAGTCAATTTTCCGTTGGTAGCCATTTGTGTCTGTTATTGAAGGAAAATATTTCCATGTTTTTACTCCCAAGAGGAGACAGGACAGGCACCTGGAATGCTAGGATGTCAAGTCTTGCTAGTCTTCAAATACTGTTCTTTATGTTAAAAAAAACTATGTATCTGTATAACGCTATTAAAGTTCTCTTATGAAAGTTGAAAACCATTTCGATAATCCCCCTACCACCCAGAAAAAATGAGCCCCCGCCCCCCGCCCCCATCTCCAAGCCTCATTCGCTAAGACGCCCTCCCGAGTACAATCTCTCCATCCTGCCTATGGTACGAATAGAGAGTATTAGGGCAGTATGAGCGCTACATGTAAAGATTCGTACAGTATACGTTACTTTTGGATGAAATGTGTTATGAAGTGTTTAGAGCTCGAAACAAGCAAGTAGCGCGTAGCTTCGTCTGACAGCTTAAAATATGCCCATTTATAAAAATCCAGTATGACTGTGCCTTCGGCATGTTCTTTAAGCGTTTGACCAGAAAATGTACGCCTTAGACGAATTGCGTTATACGCTTATCAGTAAGAGTATCAGGCCTCCATAGCAACTGTGAAAAGGGAACAACAACCATGAACAGCTACTTCTCTCGAAAAGATAAGTGCCACTTCACTACTTAGAAAAATCTCTGGGCAAACCTTGTGGGGTACAGACATGGCTAGAAAGTCTCGGCGTAAGCTGTTCCTGAAGGTGTCTGGTCGTTTAGCCCCCAACCAGAAGTCGAAAACACTGTCTATTTCTCGTTCTTTAAAATTATTCTTTGGAGGGACAGGTGGAAAAATTTTAATCTTACGGCGAACATTATACCTCAATTTTCTCCTGAATTTGTACAATGTTAAGAAGAAAACAATTGGCATCCTTAGTGGGGTACTAACAAACCTTTAGAAGTAAATCAAGTGTCCGTACGAACTGAAAGTTCAAAATTTTCGCGTTGTCTCCTGGCTCGTCAGGCGCCCCAAGGTTAGCCTGCGAACGCAGACTTATTTCTGGCTGCGTTTCTCGAAGAAATATACCATTTTCAGAGGGTTTTCTTTTCAGAGACATTGAAAACTTCGTTAAATTTAGGTATTAGTTCTTCTGACCAATGCGCACTCTTCTACCATCGAACGCATGTCTAAGCTCCTTTAAACCTGGGAACGAGTCTACTATGGCCAATAAAAACTTGCGTTACTTCCAGCGTCTCGAGTTACGTTCTGTGTAAACTACTGTAAGTGAGTCTTGTGATGTCTCAGAGCTGGGATTAAAGTCTTTTTCCTCAACGACAAAGATCTGTCTCTCTTCTTTAGAGGTAAGCAGACTCATTTTGCGAACTTCTAGTTTCTCTTTTTAATAGTTTCTTTTTCGCAACATTTACTCCATACCCAACAATTGCTTCATAATTTTATGATTTATACTTCTCGAGCATGCTTCCCGGGATAGATTGTCGTAGTTTAAGAGAACAGAGTTAAGCTCAAAGATGTTTTCTCGCAAGAGAATTGTATCAGCTTGCAAGATACATAACTTGTCGAAGATCAGAATAGAGGGGTAAATTACTACAGTTTTGGTTTGAAATACCTATAAACAAGGACATATCGTACTAGAAATTGGGAGGGAGATTGCACTGATAAGACCGGAAACTCCAACACGAATTTCTTCGGACTGTGTGATTCATTCGAATTAACAAGCATCTTGTTATGAGCTTAGGTGATTGTTGAAGCAAGAGATATTTGCGATCTTCAAAGCAACTTTACAAGTCATAGATTGTAATGATCGTTTATTCCGTGCACACGATCGAACAATATCAGGGGAATTAAAAGCTTATAAAATAATTAAAATATGATCTCATATCAAGTCGTAGTGGAATTTGTAAGCCGTCATTTGTTATTTTTGCAGTTATTTGCGATAATCTAAGCTAAGGTATCTCCAACACTCACTCTGGGACACAAATGCTGGTAGCTTATACCAAGGGTAGTTTATATTGTGATTGCAGCTGCAGGCATATTCGCTCACAAAGCCCAGTTCAAAGGTTATGCTGTCATCTCGATTTTCTTCGACTAGCACGACGGATGAATTGTCGCGTCACAAAATTGCGACATGCTAAGGCTTGTCTTGCTACGATCATGCTATAATAGTCAAATTTAAAGGAGTTCTGTCATATGCCTTCAATGCATTTACTTCCACTGCTAAAGGACTGAAAGTGCGCTTAAAACGCAATCATGCTGTTATAACTGTGAAACTGAGGTTGTTATAATTATAGTAAAGCTGCTTTAGTTTAGGCTTGATATTCTACCAGTCTCTAGGCTGGTCAACCCCCTCTTCCCCCCTCCTGTGTTCCTAATTGAGCCCAGAGAGGTCTAGCACAGGCTTATTTTCCCAAATATTGGCTCAGGTAAACGGGGCCAGTTCAACTGCACTAGAGCGAATTCACATATTTCCAATTTTTGGTTAGGAAAAATATTTGCAAAAATTTCGTAAGTTCGAAATTTTGCCATCACCTCAAGCCAACATGTTTTAACCCAAACTTTTCTGATTGACATATACCTTAGTCACAAACCTATCTGAAAGAGTTCTTCACAAGAGACAACAAAACATATAGGGTGCAAATTATGCAAGAATGGTTATTTCGCCTTCTTTTCTTTTTTGATTCTTTTCTTTTTCATTTTGGAGGGCTGCTGCTTACAGTACTCACGCTGACTTCGATGTTTGCAAATTATCAAAGGAGATTGCCTTGTTTCCGTACCTGTACTTGTAATTGAAGGAGACTTGTCTCTTTGAGGTCATTAGTTCAGACTTGAAATCCCATATCTCGTATTCCTCTTTTCCATTGAAATAACTGTAGAAAGGTTCAGATGGACAGGGTTAACAAAAAAAATTATTTTGGCCCACCATCACAAGCACCAAACTAAAGAAGCAGACCAAGGTACTAAACCATCAAAATTTTAATCTAGACTTTGAGACATGTTTTGCATATTGTGACAATTAAATAGTTTTAGGAAAAAACCAAAACAAAATTGTTTGTTTTGCCAAAATTTGAAAGCCCCCAAGGCAACACTTTGGCTTCTTTGAAGATTGGCGACATTTTGGCAAATTTATCCACAAAAACTTGGCAAGATTTTGAAACTGGGGATTGCACTTATTTTGTTCTTCACGTTGACGTATTGCCCTATATGTAATGTGGCACGAAGGGGACAGTTAGTTAGTTGACAGGTTTCATTACTTAATATACAAACAAAATTTGCTCTGGTGCGACCCGGCCCTAAGTTGACATCAAAGTAGGTGAAAACAGTGGCCACCTGAGCAAGAGTAACATATATAATTACAGTGTAAATTGTTACCATGAAATATATACGTCAAATATTGGCTTATATATTTGACTTGATTATTTTCAGAAGTTGTTTTGAGGGCAAACCTGACCAGCCATGTTGAACAAGGTTGTGTTGACTTGTGCAGTAATTCTGATCCTCCAGTTTATATCAACAGGCACAGGTATTATTGATTGCTAGGATGGTGTATGATAGAAGTAACTTGAACAAAGTACAACTAACGATTTAATCACACTCCACTGTGATTTAGTCTATGTACAAAGAGCTTTTATTAATTTATTCTATAAAAGCTTTTCAGAATGCTGACAGACTGAGAGTACAACACTACTGAGCAGGAGTTTTAGCACATACATGTAGTTTTCTAAATCTGTGTTATTACAGCATGAATGATAATAATAAATAATTAATTATTGACTTAGTAGCTTAATGCTATGGAAACCAAGATAATTACCCTCACAAGATGGGATACTTTGACCCAACAAGGATATAAAACTAAAGATCTATTTTATAGTGGAACCCCGTTAATATGTTCACCAATGGGCCATGAAAATTTGACCGTATTAACAGGGTGACCATATTAATGGAGCAGGATCAAATTTCATGACTTGCCTATTTTAAGTGACATCTTGACAGAGTACATCACAATTGCACTTCTAAACAACCGTTCTTTGATAAGCATTCAAAATGCAGGTATTATTTTAAAAAAGGTCATTAATTAATGGAAGGATGAACATGATTGGTTCGAGTGGCCATCTTAATGGGGTAAAATATTATTATGGACAACTATATGGGTTGGCCAGTTTACAGAATGTGGCTGTACTTTGGCCATATTAACAGGGTGGCCAGATTAACAGGGTTTTCTTATAAAAAATTGTGTGGGCACTTTGCCGAGACAAAAAAGACTGGCTGTAATTAATAATGAGGTGACTGTACTAACGAGGTGATCACAAGGCAGGGTTCCACTGTATTTCAACAGTCAAGAATACTTTGAAATAAATTCTTATTATTTTCAGCCATGGTGTTTATTTGTTTTTGTCAGATGAGTAAACATTACCTTGTCTGACGGGCACTGTTAATGAGAGTAATGTTATGCTTAATTATCTATCACAGAAGTAATCAGCAAGAAACTTGATGCTATATACACTTAGCAATTTTTTTTTTATATTTGAATTTTTAACAACCAGCTGCTCCATGTGACCCCAAATGCACAGGAGGCCAGGGATCATGTCAGAGTAATGGACGCTGTCTTTGTTGGTGGGGCTGGACTGGGCCTCATGCAGCGTACATCACATCAGGGGTGCGCAAAAACAGAATACTGGTAAGGAATGCAAGACGGAACATTTAGTTGTGAAATGGGTTATTCCAGAAAATATCTTTCTCAAACTCATTAATAAAAATAATTCATCAGACAAGTTTATTTTAAACAATTGAAAGGAATTCATGACTGTGACTGTGTTTGGATTACATCTGATCGTAGATTTTTTTTATTTTACTGTATTTCTCTGTTTTCTCTTAAGTGTACTACAGTTTCGATTGAGAAAATATATCAAACACTCAAGATGGTGTTTGACCACATAATTTTCCAAACACCTCAAATTTTGTCAAAAATACTCTGCTGTGCGCCATAATTTCAACTCTTTTCTAGGTGTTTGGAAATGCAGTCAAACACAGTTTTTTGTGCAGAGTGCACTATTGGGATGGTTATGGGAGCTGCCTGCCGCTATGGCACTATGGCACTATGGCCCTATGGCGCTAAGGTGTAAACTTCAATGTTTGTTTAATTAATTCAAGGCTGCTGCCTGACGGGCGCCCGGTCGCCTGACGCACCTAAGTTACGAGTGCGGGCGACTTAAGTTTTGTTCAAGGAGCCCAAGTGGGCGCCAAAACATGGGGTTTTCATTCCAATGTAATGTGTCCGATGACTTCAACCTTCTCATGAAATCGTTCAAAAAATAATTCACACAATAAATTAAACAGAAAACAACAGCTACACTGGTCCTGTTTTGCTTTTATCACGAGAAATCTGGGCCAAAACACGGCAACAAGGTCTCTCCGTTCACAAAACAGCCGAAAACAGCCATATTTGAAAATCGCCTTATAGTGCATTGCAAGCTCAGTATTGAATAAAGGTACATTATGTTTGCCAATGGATTGTGTCTCTGTTGATGCCTTACTGATTCCAAGTTGCAAAATAACTACTTTGATAGCAAGTATTAATTTTTTGGAATTGGAGTGATGATCCTACTGACATTATATTTACAGTTGAAAAAAGATAAATGTGTCTAAATATTTGTCCGATACTTAAGAAAACTTCACTTAGATGTACTGAATGAATTTCTTTAGGTTCTGAAAGGATAATTAGCCAGCAAAAAGAACACATCATTGCAATTCTTTTTGCATACTGGGGCTTTATATTTTAAATTATCAAATGAATTGTCGCGACTCTGCCCAATATACAAGAATTTATTTTCTCCAAAGNATGAATTTCTTTAGGTTCTGAAAGGATAATTCGAGTAACTAGCCAGCAGAAAGAACACATCATTGCAATTCTCTTTGCATACTAGGGTTCTATATTTTAAATTATCAAATGAATTGTCACAACTCCACCCAATATACAAGAATTTATTTTCTCCAAAGAAGTGGCCAATATTGCTGTAATGCTGCCTCAAAATCACCTTCAGTTTATACTAATGTCCCAAGCCCGGGGAAGGAATGCACATTTCAGTGAGGCCAAATTCAACTCCCCCGCCCCCCCAATGCCTCTTTCATTTTTATTTGTTTTCATGTGCAGCTTGCATTTCATGATTTGTACAACATACATGTATTTTGTCTTTTTAAAATAGAATTGCAAAACTCAAAAACAAAAGCAGTAATATAAATTTTTATTAAAAAATGCTGCAGCACTTGTATGGTTACACCAATTATTGAGTTTGACCATAAATAGTATTCTTTCTCAGTCATGACCTGATCACTTTGCTGAATGCTTTATTTATAAAATTTGATTGATATTAGACCATATTAGTGTCTCATGGAAAATCTCTGCCCCAGGACCCCTCCCCAAAATTTCCACAATTAACCCCCCGCCATCTTCCTCAACCTCCCCAACCTCCCCTCCCCCCGGATTGACCACAGAGAATTTTATCTGGGCTCCTAAAAAGGTGGCTTGGGCTCCTAACTTTTGGTGGAGGGAGCCCAAAGGGCTCCTTAAAAATTTCCTTATGCAACAGCCTTGACCTGTCCTGCAGGAGTCACGATAACAGCATTTTTATGCATCAGAATCAGTCCTTTTTGAGTCAGAAATCTGATCAATGTTCTTGACTTGTTTTGTGGGTGTGGATAGACGGTTTATTCGAAATGTCTGTCCAGCATCTCATGTATGTATGTGACAGTTTTTTTTGTATGTGATACATGTTAGGGCCAGTCATTGAAAATCAGGAGACCTAAGGACTACCAACCCATCCCAGGAATGTCAGGTACATTGTAATTCCCTTATGATGAGATGCAGGTTCTTTTTGCATTTTAAGCATAAGAATACTTGGGATATTGTCTGCACTGGTACACCTATATGCCAGTTTGAGTGTCTCTCTGAGATGAAATGCCTGAACAAGTATAGTGACCTTCCCTGTCAATTACTACTTGTTTTCTGTCTAAGGCTGAAGGTGATTCTTCTTTTGCAGAAACGGCCACTATTCATGTCCCAGGTGTTGTATCAACTGTTGTCCCAGATTCTCCTCACAAGATTTTCATTGGAGGATTGCCGAACTACCTTAGTGAAGATCAGGTAATGAGTTTAGGGGTAAAGTGAAAGGGATATCATGGAACTTTGGTAGGCTGACAATGGTAACTTCAAAATACAGTTGCGAATATACTGTACCTTGATATGATTTTGCTTCATTGCCAACATTCGCAATATGGTCACAAGTCTTTGAGAGTGAGAATGGAAATAATCAACCAAACTCACCAAAATGGAATGTTACATACATGTACATGTAACTATGACTTGCAAATTGTAAGAAGTGTTGCATTTCCAGAAAGTAAATATGTGTTGGAATCAATTAGCAAATGTCTAAAAATTTGTAAGAAATAACCAGCAAAACATGAAGTGAAAATAATTGTGTATTTCAATTTAAAGCACGCTGCTGTCTGTCGTGTAGAGAATGTTCATGTCCAGATTTTTCCACAGCTTTAAGGTCCAAGGACAGTTCATGATCTGAGAGGCACACTTTTCTTTTGTTACAGGAATGTCAGTTGCATCCAGACTAATACCAAAAATCTATTTTTGTTCTTTCAGCGATTGCTTTTCAGCCATTCTCTTTTTTTAGATCAGCATACCATCTTTGGCTGTGAAAGGCATCGCTCTCGGCATCTTTTTCTTTTTCAGCTTTTCTTTTTAGGAAATCAACATGTAATGTCCATTAGACTAGATTGCAACTTTGGACTATATGAACTATTTTAATCCCTAATTTCTTTTTACCCAGAAGAATATTAGTCAAGATCTGTGAAAAACATTACATGTAGCTATATCATTTTTTGGACATGTGAAAGCAGCAGAAAATGAAAATGTAAATGTAAATGCTGTGGGAACTCAAGCCCCTAGGCTGGTGTTTCCACAGCTTTTTTTGAGCTCTCCCAAACTTTCAAAAGTGTTTCTATAATTCAGTAGAAACACAGAAAACACGTTTTTGATTTGTTTTAGAAAATACCATGACAAAAGAAGAGAAAATAACTTGTTTACTTTGATCTTCAAAATGTAAATTCTCTTTGCCCGCACCATCATTATGTCAACAGCTTGTGCTAGGTCTGTGTTTCTATCGTGTTAGAGAAACACTAATTTTAACCAATCAGTGTGCACATGTATATTTTATATGGGCTTTTTTGTACTGTTGTTTAACAAGAGCCTATGTGGAAAATAAGCATTGTTTTTGTTGTCCCTTTTTTGAGCATACAATATTGAAAAATGAAGCAATACTTAACTCTATCCCCAAATTGATCCTTTGGTGTTGTGTGTCAAGTGTTTTCAATGTGCAAAACTTGATACTGCCTAGTAATCAGTAGTGATTAAAGCAACACTGACATGTCTCAATTTTATTTCCCCTTCATTTGATCCCTAGCTTAGGGGGGACTAAAATGGTCATCAAATCTGGCTAAAGGCAAGTTCCTCTACATCGAGTGTGTGGAATAAGGGCTTGGTCAAGAGTGGTGTATGCACGCTGACTTGATTTAAAAACTTCCATTGGCAGGCACGAGTCACCTACACTGAGTAATGTTTCTCATAGGGGCATAAAAAAATTATATAGATGTATCATCCAATCCAAGGCCTGTAATCACTATTGGATGCTATCAAAGGTGCCTCGGGTCCTCCTTCAAGTGGCTTTGATTTTGTGGGTTGGTTGGCTAAAGTGCATGAGTTGAAATTCTGAACTTTCGTCTAAAAAAAAAAAAAACTCAGTCAAAAAACAGCAAATTTGAATGTGTTCCTGTTAGTTCCCTATTTGCTGTTAGGAATCTCCCTGGTTGCTTAAAGGTGTTCATCTTCTTGTCATGGAAATATATAAAGGATGGACAATGTTGCAGAGAAAATAACTGAATGCCTGAACTTATTTAGTCCAGTAGCCTCATAACTTCAAAGCCATTTTTATTTGCTGACTCTTAAGCTGTTGTGTTTATCTTTGCACACCTCAATTTGATCAGCTTGCTTCTTGGACAATTATCGCTACCCTGAGGAGATGTCTTGCTCCCAAAACCTTGAAGACTGATATTATGTTGGGGTGTGCACATGCATAAATACTGTCTTGTTGCCAAGGTAACTGGCTACTGGGTTTATCATTTGACAGAACAGAATGACAACTTGTTATTGTTGTTGTTCTGGCCTGTGCCCATTCAAGTAGCCTTGGCTTCGAGCTCTTGTGTGTGTTTAAAACGTCTGTATTGTGTTCAGGATTCAACTCACTGTAATGTGGGTGCTTGTTTTTCATTTTCAGGTCAAGGAGCTTTTGGCATCATTTGGGGAGCTCAAGGCCTTCAATTTAGTGAAAGACAGTGCTACTGGCCTCTCAAAGGGTTACGCCTTCTGCGAATATGTGGACCTCACAATTACAGATGTTGTAAGTTACATTGTAATGACGCATCCAAACAGTTGCTTTGATTACAGATACCTTATGTGGTGGTCTAATGGCTTAAGTGCAATGCATACCAACCAATGTGTAAATGTTCATGATAACATTCCACCATAGTATCCAATACTTGTAAATGATTATTGCAATGCATTGTTTCTCCACTTGTTTCTACCTTGATTCTTCAACAAGGGTATTCAAGATTCAGTTTACCAGTGCACATTTTGTTGCTCTACCTTTTCTCAGCTGGAAACCTGTGAAATCAGGGTGCTACTTTGTACCCATTGGTCACATTTTCAAGATTGAATTTCCCTACTGTACATCTGCACAACAGAACATGTGTACATGGGTCTTTAGAACACTTGAGAGACTGCATCTTGACCTAGTGCTACTGTATACTTGTATTGCTTGAGGTAGCACGCAGACCATGCTGATGCACATGAAGTTTTAACTTGGAAAATAGCATAGCTATGTTTCAAGTTGTAGGTGTGGGTGGAAATTTCACTCCTTTGCTCCTTCACTTCCTGTTGGACATTTTGTACATCTGCTGACCAGTGCATAATATAAGGCTTTCATGGTTGCTTGGGCCCTGAGCTGTACTGAAGTCCAAGTTATTCAAGATGTTGAAGTTGTCTTATTTCTTCCAATGCAGGCAATCACAGGACTCAATGGAATGCAGCTTGGTGAGAAGAAGTTAATAGTTCAGCGAGCAAGTGTTGGAGCTAAGACAAATATGAATAATGTAAGTAACAATGTCTTGCTGTTCTTGGCTGAATTTCACTTGTTTCGACGTAACTTTACTCAGTCTCTGTAAAGCAGGCCCCTTGCTTGAGTGGACAGCTAGAGCTGCTGCTTAGGATGTCTGCGTCAGAGCGAGTTTTCAATTCTCCCGCAAGTACAGCTGTAGTAGCCTGAATTGCAAACAAACTCAAAGACCTCTTAAGTTTACCTGGATACAGGGTGGACGGGAGTCAATACCTCAGTCTCCCCACATACAGTACCCAATGTAGGTTAACCTGCCTGCTACAGTTGCAGTGGTACAAGCTTCATGATCTGGAATGATCTTTTTTTTCTTGCAGCCGGATGCAATGAACATGATCCCAGCCCAGATGCAGATTCCTGGTCTGGACATGTCTGCTAACCTTCACAACAGTGCAACAGAAGTGCTGTGTCTCATGAACATGGTGGAGATAGAAGAGCTCATGGATGATGAAGAATACGAAGGTAACAACTGTGATCAAAAGCTGATTTCTCCTCGCTTTTCCAATTAACTGTCAAGTGAACAGGTTGTGAGAATAACGGAAAGCGTCTATAAGGGGGTATTGTCCTGATTTACTAGCAAATTCTCAGAACTGACACTGAAAGAAATGTAAAGCGTTTAGTAGGAGAAGTGATATTTTGATGTTGAGATTGAAGGGATTAATAGTTCTTGCTACTCTTACACTTGAAATGAGAAATTTGAAAACAAAAAATTCTGAATGTCACGGTTCTATTTTGCAAATCAAGTAGGTACATACAGTACTCTGTATTTTTCGAGTATCCCTGAAGCAAAGTTCGATCTACAAGAAAATTAATAGAAGTTGCTTTCAAATGTAACAAAAAATTGATTTTTAAAAAAGAAGAGATATTGTGGTCTTCTTGATCAATCTGGTTGAAATCTCTGAAAGGTTGCTTGTAGCTCATAACCATAAGGTTACATTAGTAGAACATTTTCATTTTCTTCCTCAGAAATTTACGAAGACGTTCGTACGGAATGCTCCAAGTATGGCAAAGTTGTCAGCTTAGAAATACCAAGACCCGTTGAAGATTTTGAACCACCTGGCTGTGGAAAGGTAATTGTCATGATTGCAATGGACCTTTTCGGTGACACTGCAGCCATTCTAAACTTTATTGTTTCAACTAGCTATTATGGGATGCTCAGGGGGCAAATAAGTATATATTTGCCCCCTGAGCGTCCCATAATAGCTATTTGAAACAATAGAATTCAAAATGGCCGCCGTATCGCCGAAATGTCCATTCCAGTAGTAAGTGCAAGTCTAATGAAATTTGGTTAATTTGATCACCAAGCCCAACGGGCAACCAGGGACTTTTATGAAGAGAAGATATTTGAAAGGTTTGCTGAAAAACGTCAGTAGAAATATTAAAATTACAGTTTAAAATTATTTTTGTTGCACGTAACAGTTGTCCCACATCGACACGTCTGACAACTGTAATATTTTAATATTATGAAAGTGTATGGGAAGTGAAAGCCTTATCACAGATCATGCGGTCCGATTTCAAGTGCTAGCCAAGGTTACTGTGTTGTTTTCTGAACATCCTCTGATCGTCCACTCACATCGTCCGGTAACAAGCAGACCAAACGGCTACATCGTAACCTGACAGAATGCTTGGTGAGGGAAGGGTGTGTAAACTAAACAAATCTTTTTTTATTGTTTATAAAATCTTTATTTCTATCTATGGTATTATAATTTTAATCGAAAAAAGAACTCCAGAAAAGCCGTGCGCCCCTTTTTTTTATACCAACTTTTGAGTACCATCTTTTCTCAGATATACGTGGAATTCGGATCACCTGACGACTCAAAGAATGCTGCCCAGTCTCTGGCGGGCCGCAAGTTTGCCAATCGCGTGGTAGTGACGTCATTCTACAGCCCAGAGATGTACCACAGAAAAGAGTTTCATTAGAAAGAAAAAAAAAAAAAAAGAAAAGAGTTCCATTAGCTGATGATGTCATAACAATCGCTGCCGTCGGTTGCGTTAGGAAAGATGGGCCGATATCTCGTTTCTTCCTTTGTATAGTTTTTGCTTCTTTTTAACAGTCTTGTGTACGATGTTGTAATTTTAGTTATATGATTTATTTGCGCGATTTTGAGTCAAATGTTGTGAATCAGACGAGGACATGCGTTACTAAAGAGAACTGTACCAATACGACAGATATGATTACAGTGCATTATTTCCTCGATTAGGCACCCTCGCTGGGGCTAATCCTCGGCACAAAAACCTGTACAACTGACCGACGATCATTCAGATAAAATAAAGAAAACAAAGGCTTGATAACAAAGAGAAATGTTTGCCGAGGTATGTTTGCCTAGTTTTATACACCCTGAAAAAGCGCCTTTATGAAAGTTTTTTTCCCTTCTTTCTTGGTTAAAAAAGTAAAAATACGTTAGAAACCAGTCTGAATGAATGTATCAAGTAAGAAAGGGCAAAATCACTTCGGAACTAAATTGAAATGACATACCTGAAACATAAAGTTGTTTCAATCATGAAGATTGTACTGTTTATAGGAGAGAACTATAGTCACCCCGACGCTTAATTGAGGAAATACATGTACAGGTGCAGTTGAAGTTCCTTGATGCACTTTAGTTTGTTCTGGGCGCTTTTAGGCCTGTTCGTGCTCCTTTGGGAGTGATTCTCTTAGCATAGACTAGAGCCTTAAATTTACACAAGACCTCAAAGTTAATGGCTTGAAACCACAGGAAAAGCAAAAAAACGAGAGGCACCAAAGCCGTAAAAGAGAACTGATAATGAGTTGCTCAGTGACAACGCGATATGCAAGTTGACACTTCCCACTGAGTCAATATGTATCGACACCTTAGTTTTAAGTTCAAGTATCGCTGGGAAGGGTAACGTTGTCTAGTTTCCTTGACAATGCTCTGTCCTCCTCTTGCATGGATGATTCATGTAACCTTTGTAAACCTTCAGTAAGCTGTCTGAAGCCTGTGCTCTTAGAACTTAAAAAAGTCGCGGGGCGCCGTTGTTTCGGCACAGATCTATAGCAAGGCAAAGCAGTTTTCTCTTTAATTTCTTTCATTTAGGATCTAGATTAAGTCGGTTTTATTGGAAAACACCTATAAATAAGTGTATGGAATTATACTTTGTTTCCATTGGTGTTGTTTTAACTCTTGCATTTCGCCATGTTAAGAAAGTAAGGACTCCCTACGCCCATTCAATGCTTGCAGGCATTTTTCGTGTGTCCATGAATATTCGGTATTAGCTCGCGATCGAGAAGATTCCCCGCCATGTTGGCTCTTCTTTCAGCCTTGAGGTTTCTCCCTAGGACGCCTTTTCGTTTCTCCTCATGTCCCTTCCGAATTTGATCCAAGATGGCGCTTGCTTGATCAAAATGCGCTCGCTCGCCAAAATACGCCTGCATTGCAGGCGAGCGTATAAGAGTTAATCCCCCGTGTAGGCCTTATTGGGTACCCAATAACAAAAACGATTTACTCGGAAATCTAGGTACATTTAAAGCAGAAATATCAAATATCTCCGAAACGAGGGTGGAACTTGCCATTCAAAGCCCCTTATTAGGGTTATACTGTTTATCGTATGCGATAAAAGGCGGTTTTTGTTCAACTGGCAATATTTTTTGAGGACGAGAAGAAATATCTAAATGGCCGTGTTTTCACAAAAAAAATATAAATCACTTTCCTCGTGTTTCTACCGAGCAGTAAACACTCTTGTAAGAGCTAAAGAGAGAACTAAAGAAACATTCGCTTTCGGCTCGTTTTCCCGCAGCTCCTCATGCCTCTATGTTACGAAACGCGACAAACGTTTTCTATCTCTAAAAGTTTGTCAAGGCTGCGCTGTGAAGACGGAAGATAAAGGACGAGAAAAATGACGACAACAAACGCTCGCGCGCATTACACAAGGTTGATTTGCTTTCAACGTACGTATGCGGGGCAAAATGAACCCAATGTTTTTCACCTACGGCTTTAATTTTCGGTGACTAATCACAATTACTACGTGCATAGGAATCAAAAAAGAAACCACACCCTTAACAACATGCCCTCCAATATTTGCACATTCAGGGAACTTAAAACAGTAAGTTAAAGCTTTGTAGCGCACGTCCCCATCCAACATAACCAAGGTTTTCTAGGTCTGAACACTATTCGGCAGCCATCTTGGAATAAAATATGGATAAGTCAGATGTCCAGTCTTCTTCCGCATTTCATTTTCTTCTTGCATACGAGGTTGAACAACGGTCATGAGGTAACTATAGTAACCATTGACGAGGTTCACGGCGTCAATGTCTTGAAGCTCGTTCCCGTAGTCAAACAGGGAATCGAAACGAAATTCTCCCAGGGTCAAGAACGCTGAGGATTGGATCTGAAAGATTTTCAAAAATTCAATTTCAATTTCATTTTATTTTATTTTCTTACATATAGTTACAAGAATTGCATGCCCCCGCAACTAGATCCAGAAGTAATCGAGGCGGGGGCAAGAAAAGAAAAAAGAAAAGAAAAAGAAAAGAAAAGCAATGATAATTTACAACAAAGTTACAAGAGGCACAAGTAAACAATAGAAACAACTACAACTAATCTACGATGAATGCGCACACTAATGCAGCGCGTTCGGTATTTTCCGCAGTTCCGACCCGTTTTCCATTTAAAACGTGTTGTAGATGTGTCCTAGAAGAATACTTTTGAAATGGTCTTTTTTAGAATAATCATAATTATCTAACGTCTAAAAACATCAAAATATATAAATAACAGAACAGAACAATTTTCATGGCATTAAACATCCAATTACCAAAAAATTCTTTTCCACTGAATTTATTCAAGTTGTCCTGTCTGCTAGTCATGCATTTGATTTGATGCTTTAGATAACTATATTCAAACTTGCCAATTCTTCAATATACACCACATAAGATCTTGAAGCCCAAATTACAGTCATGAAAATGTTCAAGATCTACCCTGGAGCCCCCTATGCCTAAAAATCTTCCTCCCAACCGGAGCTTAGAAGATTACTCCCTCCCCATCCCTTCCCTTACCCCCATCTCCCTTCCAATATGTGAGAAATAGTGACGCAATATATCAAACACGAAAGACCGTGTTTGACCACATTTCCACTGAGAAGAAAGTTGAAAATACGATGCGCAGCGGAGTATTTTTGACGAACTTTGAGGTGCTTGGAAATGTGGTCAAACACTGTCTTTAGTGTTTGATATATCTTCTCAATCGAATTAAAAACTAAAATTCAGGGGAAATCGGAGAAATACCATTGTAAAAATCTTGGTTTCTAAGATCATGTGTGCAAACTCTGTAAGGGTCATGATTTCTTTAAACTTTATCAATGAGTTTGAAAAGTCCTACTTACAGCACTTCCCAGCCTGTTAGGAAGGCGGAAAACAGAGAATTTCCCATCTTCCACTCTGGTGTCATCGTACAGTTTAGTTGGCTGGTTGGGAATGTATTCAGGGTAGTCTTTTACGACATAGTTGACCGAGGCGTGATAGATTGTCACGTGCGAGATTATTCGACTAACTATCTCACAGAGGTCTTCCTTTGAATCAATGCTTGCTTGCAAACCTCGAATCTATCCAACAGAAAAATAAATAAATATAAGGTATATTAATCTAAACGCTCCAAGAGGATTTAATCGGGGCTCGTATCGCAATATCCTGGCAATATCAAATCGTACTTTACAAGTATTGAACTGAATAAAAACAAATAAAAGAATCAGTTAAGCTGAGATATTTACTATTCAAGTTGCTTTGCTCAATATTCTCTTTATCCAATCGCTTTTTTTTGCCTCGCCTTCCAAGTTATGTTCACGATGAACTTTGCTAATTTGCTTAACTTTCAAGCCATAGAATTCGTGGACCGGCCCATTACGGAAAGGCTCGACACCTTTGTACGTGAGATGAGCACATAAGCTAATTTAGAACATTTGGTAAAGCCGATTTTTTCAGCCTTTAACACGACTACTTAATATGCTGTGTATTGTTAACTGCGATGGTCTTTCTTTTATTTAAATCTTTGATCTGCAGTTCGAATAAATGAATTTCTTATATTCCAGTTAATTTATCAGTAATTGTGGGTTATCATGACTCAAGCCTGTGCATTCCAACTAACTTAAAATGTTTCAGAATCTCGTGTACCCGCTTCATAGCATCAGTAATATAAGAGACAAACTTGAAATGTTTTTAACGGAACATTATATGTGAAAGTTGCGAATATTATCAGTTTGGGTTTAAGTACAGTCGCTGTTTGTTTGTTTGTTTGTTTGTTATTGAACCTTTGGTTGTTGACCACTTGACAGAGGTTGGACAGCCCAGGGGCCCGTTTCTCTAAGGTCCCGAAGAGTTTTCGCACCCGGAAAGCCATAGCAAAATCTCTAACCTTATGATTACAGAGCTGTTTTATTCACGTATTCTTAATATGAACAGAGATTCCCTTCATACAAGAAGTTTCAGGCTGGGTTTACGGGCCCGAAATGTTTCCAGGGCTTTCGAGAAACGGGCCCCTGGACCCTTTTCTAACTGACTTTCCAGCTGACTTTCTTGTTAAAACAGGTTAAACCGAAGTTATTCATTAGTTAACTGATATGATACTATTGTTAGATATAATTTCTTTTTTGAAAGTAAGTATGGACTCGGATGCTTGATGCTTCGTCTTCGTATTTACCCTTCCAATGCCGCCATTCGGTCCAGTTCCGTCCAGTGACACTTCATTGAGGTAAGCCTGAAGTTCCAGGTCTTCCTTCACGTCTTGATCCTCTTTATAATACCTAGACACCGTTAAACCGCTTTGCATGACATTGAAAGGATAAACAAAGGGGTCTAAAAGGTCGCTGTTGTTTACGGTCTTTACGTTTAAGGTTGTTTTTGGCTTCGACATTTTTCGATTCATGTTGATGGTAATTATCTTTCGCTCCAAATTATGACTACGGATACGAAAAAGGAAAATAGATTTCAAAATAGAACTACAATTATGGCAGGTATAACAGTTCTGCGTTCATTATGAGCTTATCAGGGTGGTTCAAACTGTTTTTTACACGCGTACTTCTCAGTCTAGAATACTGCTTGACTTTCAAGATAGTAGTAAAAGAATTGAACAAAGTTGAAAGGACAAGGCGAAGTGTCTTTATTTCTTACTCAGAGTGGGTTTCAATTGGTATCTTTCAAACATGGCATGAACAGTTAAAAGCGAACTGCATGCTTTTTCTACTACTTTATTCCTGCTGGGGAAATTTCTAAATGCAAGACGCAAACAATGATGATGGTCTTCCAGGGTGTAAGGAGTAGCGTGTTTCCTTGATCGCTTGAAAATTTCACTTTTGCTTCCTTGCTCGCCATTAATGAATTCCATTGTTCCCAATAATTTTTTCTGTCAAAGTTACTTTTAATAGTATAGAGATATCTCTTTTTCCCTTGAATTAATCCCTAAAACATCCCCTGCTCCTCTGAAATAAATGATCCTGTTCCCTTATTTCCCAAAACCCATGGGAGGCCCACAATGATGCCAGTGTACGCGTCAAGCAAACGATGTTGTCTGAGATAACTCTATCGTGAAGGTGCAAGTTCCACACAAAGCCGAGCGAGATATTTTACAGGCACACCTGGACTGTTTGGTAGAGCCTGAATAAAGCTTCTAAGTCACTTTTAATATGGAAATAAGATGAGGGCTCCATGCTCACTTACAAGTTGACGTAATCTTCNAAAAAAAAAAAAAAAGAAAAGAGTTCCATTAGCTGATGATGTCATAACAATCGCTGCCGTCGGTTGCGTTAGGAAAGATGGGCCGATATCTCGTTTCTTCCTTTGTATAGTTTTTGCTTCTTTTTAACAGTCTTGTGTACGATGTTGTAATTTTAGTTATATGATTTATTTGCGCGATTTTGAGTCAAATGTTGTGAATCAGACGAGGACATGCGTTACTAAAGAGAACTGTACCAATACGACAGATATGATTACAGTGCATTATTTCCTCGATTAGGCACCCTCGCTGGGGCTAATCCTCGGCACAAAAACCTGTACAACTGACCGACGATCATTCAGATAAAATAAAGAAAACAAAGGCTTGATAACAAAGAGAAATGTTTGCCGAGGTATGTTTGCCTAGTTTTATACACCCTGAAAAAGCGCCTTTATGAAAGTTTTTTTCCCTTCTTTCTTGGTTAAAAAAGTAAAAATACGTTAGAAACCAGTCTGAATGAATGTATCAAGTAAGAAAGGGCAAAATCACTTCGGAACTAAATTGAAATGACATACCTGAAACATAAAGTTGTTTCAATCATGAAGATTGTACTGTTTATAGGAGAGAACTATAGTCACCCCGACGCTTAATTGAGGAAATACATGTACAGGTGCAGTTGAAGTTCCTTGATGCACTTTAGTTTGTTCTGGGCGCTTTTAGGCCTGTTCGTGCTCCTTTGGGAGTGATTCTCTTAGCATAGACTAGAGCCTTAAATTTACACAAGACCTCAAAGTTAATGGCTTGAAACCACAGGAAAAGCAAAAAAACGAGAGGCACCAAAGCCGTAAAAGAGAACTGATAATGAGTTGCTCAGTGACAACGCGATATGCAAGTTGACACTTCCCACTGAGTCAATATGTATCGACACCTTAGTTTTAAGTTCAAGTATCGCTGGGAAGGGTAACGTTGTCTAGTTTCCTTGACAATGCTCTGTCCTCCTCTTGCATGGATGATTCATGTAACCTTTGTAAACCTTCAGTAAGCTGTCTGAAGCCTGTGCTCTTAGAACTTAAAAAAGTCGCGGGGCGCCGTTGTTTCGGCACAGATCTATAGCAAGGCAAAGCAGTTTTCTCTTTAATTTCTTTCATTTAGGATCTAGATTAAGCCGGTTTTATTGGAAAACACCTATAAATAAGTGTATGGAATTATACTTTGTTTCCATTGGTGTTGTTTTAACTCTTGCATTTCGCCATGTTAAGAAAGTAAGGACTCCCTACGCCCATTCAATGCTTGCAGGCATTTTTCGTGTGTCCATGAATATTCGGTATTAGCTCGCGATCGAGAAGATTCCCCGCCATGTTGGCTCTTCTTTCAGCCTTGAGGTTTCTCCCTAGGACGCCTTTTCGTTTCTCCTCATGTCCCTTCCGAATTTGATCCAAGATGGCGCTTGCTTGATCAAAATGCGCTCGCTCGCCAAAATACGCCTGCATTGCAGGCGAGCGTATAAGAGTTAATCCCCCGTGTAGGCCTTATTGGGTACCCAATAACAAAAACGATTTACTCGGAAATCTAGGTACATTTAAAGCAGAAATATCAAATATCTCCGAAACGAGGGTGGAACTTGCCATTCAAAGCCCCTTATTAGGGTTATACTGTTTATCGTATGCGATAAAAGGCGGTTTTTGTTCAACTGGCAATATTTTTTGAGGACGAGAAGAAATATCTAAATGGCCGTGTTTTCACAAAAAAAATATAAATCACTTTCCTCGTGTTTCTACCGAGCAGTAAACACTCTTGTAAGAGCTAAAGAGAGAACTAAAGAAACATTCGCTTTCGGCTCGTTTTCCCGCAGCTCCTCATGCCTCTATGTTACGAAACGCGACAAACGTTTTCTATCTCTAAAAGTTTGTCAAGGCTGCGCTGTGAAGACGGAAGATAAAGGACGAGAAAAATGACGACAACAAACGCTCGCGCGCATTACACAAGGTTGATTTGCTTTCAACGTACGTATGCGGGGCAAAATGAACCCAATGTTTTTCACCTACGGCTTTAATTTTCGGTGACTAATCACAATTACTACGTGCATAGGAATCAAAAAAGAAACCACACCCTTAACAACATGCCCTCCAATATTTGCACATTCAGGGAACTTAAAACAGTAAGTTAAAGCTTTGTAGCGCACGTCCCCATCCAACATAACCAAGGTTTTCTAGGTCTGAACACTATTCGGCAGCCATCTTGGAATAAAATATGGATAAGTCAGATGTCCAGTCTTCTTCCGCATTTCATTTTCTTCTTGCATACGAGGTTGAACAACGGTCATGAGGTAACTATAGTAACCATTGACGAGGTTCACGGCGTCAATGTCTTGAAGCTCGTTCCCGTAGTCAAACAGGGAATCGAAACGAAATTCTCCCAGGGTCAAGAACGCTGAGGATTGGATCTGAAAGATTTTCAAAAATTCAATTTCAATTTCATTTTATTTTATTTTCTTACATATAGTTACAAGAATTGCATGCCCCCGCAACTAGATCCAGAAGTAATCGAGGCGGGGGCAAGAAAAGAAAAAAGAAAAGAAAAAGAAAAGAAAAGCAATGATAATTTACAACAAAGTTACAAGAGGCACAAGTAAACAATAGAAACAACTACAACTAATCTACGATGAATGCGCACACTAATGCAGCGCGTTCGGTATTTTCCGCAGTTCCGACCCGTTTTCCATTTAAAACGTGTTGTAGATGTGTCCTAGAAGAATACTTTTGAAATGGTCTTTTTTAGAATAATCATAATTATCTAACGTCTAAAAACATCAAAATATATAAATAACAGAACAGAACAATTTTCATGGCATTAAACATCCAATTACCAAAAAATTCTTTTCCACTGAATTTATTCAAGTTGTCCTGTCTGCTAGTCATGCATTTGATTTGATGCTTTAGATAACTATATTCAAACTTGCCAATTCTTCAATATACACCACATAAGATCTTGAAGCCCAAATTACAGTCATGAAAATGTTCAAGATCTACCCTGGAGCCCCCTATGCCTAAAAATCTTCCTCCCAACCGGAGCTTAGAAGATTACTCCCTCCCCATCCCTTCCCTTACCCCCATCTCCCTTCCAATATGTGAGAAATAGTGACGCAATATATCAAACACGAAAGACCGTGTTTGACCACATTTCCACTGAGAAGAAAGTTGAAAATACGATGCGCAGCGGAGTATTTTTGACGAACTTTGAGGTGCTTGGAAATGTGGTCAAACACTGTCTTTAGTGTTTGATATATCTTCTCAATCGAATTAAAAACTAAAATTCAGGGGAAATCGGAGAAATACCATTGTAAAAATCTTGGTTTCTAAGATCATGTGTGCAAACTCTGTAAGGGTCATGATTTCTTTAAACTTTATCAATGAGTTTGAAAAGTCCTACTTACAGCACTTCCCAGCCTGTTAGGAAGGCGGAAAACAGAGAATTTCCCATCTTCCACTCTGGTGTCATCGTACAGTTTAGTTGGCTGGTTGGGAATGTATTCAGGGTAGTCTTTTACGACATAGTTGACCGAGGCGTGATAGATTGTCACGTGCGAGATTATTCGACTAACTATCTCACAGAGGTCTTCCTTTGAATCAATGCTTGCTTGCAAACCTCGAATCTATCCAACAGAAAAATAAATAAATATAAGGTATATTAATCTAAACGCTCCAAGAGGATTTAATCGGGGCTCGTATCGCAATATCCTGGCAATATCAAATCGTACTTTACAAGTATTGAACTGAATAAAAACAAATAAAAGAATCAGTTAAGCTGAGATATTTACTATTCAAGTTGCTTTGCTCAATATTCTCTTTATCCAATCGCTTTTTTTTGGCCTCGCCTTCCAAGTTATGTTCACGATGAACTTTGCTAATTTGCTTAACTTTCAAGCCATAGAATTCGTGGACCGGCCCATTACGGAAAGGCTCGACACCTTTGTACGTGAGATGAGCACATAAGCTAATTTAGAACATTTGGTAAAGCCGATTTTTTCAGCCTTTAACACGACTACTTAATATGCTGTGTATTGTTAACTGCGATGGTCTTTCTTTTATTTAAATCTTTGATCTGCAGTTCGAATAAATGAATTTCTTATATTCCAGTTAATTTATCAGTAATTGTGGGTTATCATGACTCAAGCCTGTGCATTCCAACTAACTTAAAATGTTTCAGAATCTCGTGTACCCGCTTCATAGCATCAGTAATATAAGAGACAAACTTGAAATGTTTTTAACGGAACATTATATGTGAAAGTTGCGAATATTATCAGTTTGGGTTTAAGTACAGTCGCTGTTTGTTTGTTTGTTTGTTTGTTATTGAACCTTTGGTTGTTGACCACTTGACAGAGGTTGGACAGCCCAGGGGCCCGTTTCTCTAAGGTCCCGAAGAGTTTTCGCACCCGGAAAGCCATAGCAAAATCTCTAACCTTATGATTACAGAGCTGTTTTATTCACGTATTCTTAATATGAACAGAGATTCCCTTCATACAAGAAGTTTCAGGCTGGGTTTACGGGCCCGAAATGTTTCCAGGGCTTTCGAGAAACGGGCCCCTGGACCCTTTTCTAACTGACTTTCCAGCTGACTTTCTTGTTAAAACAGGTTAAACCGAAGTTATTCATTAGTTAACTGATATGATACTATTGTTAGATATAATTTCTTTTTTGAAAGTAAGTATGGACTCGGATGCTTGATGCTTCGTCTTCGTATTTACCCTTCCAATGCCGCCATTCGGTCCAGTTCCGTCCAGTGACACTTCATTGAGGTAAGCCTGAAGTTCCAGGTCTTCCTTCACGTCTTGATCCTCTTTATAATACCTAGACACCGTTAAACCGCTTTGCATGACATTGAAAGGATAAACAAAGGGGTCTAAAAGGTCGCTGTTGTTTACGGTCTTTACGTTTAAGGTTGTTTTTGGCTTCGACATTTTTCGATTCATGTTGATGGTAATTATCTTTCGCTCCAAATTATGACTACGGATACGAAAAAGGAAAATAGATTTCAAAATAGAACTACAATTATGGCAGGTATAACAGTTCTGCGTTCATTATGAGCTTATCAGGGTGGTTCAAACTGTTTTTTACACGCGTACTTCTCAGTCTAGAATACTGCTTGACTTTCAAGATAGTAGTAAAAGAATTGAACAAAGTTGAAAGGACAAGGCGAAGTGTCTTTATTTCTTACTCAGAGTGGGTTTCAATTGGTATCTTTCAAACATGGCATGAACAGTTAAAAGCGAACTGCATGCTTTTTCTACTACTTTATTCCTGCTGGGGAAATTTCTAAATGCAAGACGCAAACAATGATGATGGTCTTCCAGGGTGTAAGGAGTAGCGTGTTTCCTTGATCGCTTGAAAATTTCACTTTTGCTTCCTTGCTCGCCATTAATGAATTCCATTGTTCCCAATAATTTTTTCTGTCAAAGTTACTTTTAATAGTATAGAGATATCTCTTTTTCCCTTGAATTAATCCCTAAAACATCCCCTGCTCCTCTGAAATAAATGATCCTGTTCCCTTATTTCCCAAAACCCATGGGAGGCCCACAATGATGCCAGTGTACGCGTCAAGCAAACGATGTTGTCTGAGATAACTCTATCGTGAAGGTGCAAGTTCCACACAAAGCCGAGCGAGATATTTTACAGGCACACCTGGACTGTTTGGTAGAGCCTGAATAAAGCTTCTAAGTCACTTTTAATATGGAAATAAGATGAGGGCTCCATGCTCACTTACAAGTTGACGTAATCTTCAACCATGGCTTCGATAACTTTTAAGATTCTGATGCCGTCATCTCGGAACGGAAAGTAGGGCAGCAGCTTCCTGTCATCTAGCCCACGGTCCTGGGAAAAATTACCGTATAGTTCAATTCCGTCATCATTGAGAAACGGAAGTGAACGTAACAAAGACAAAATCATTTTCTCCTTTTACCACCACTTTCATCAAGTGAAAAGAAAGAAAACAAGAACTTTCAACTTTGGAAAAGTCGTAGGTGTAAGCAACAGTTAGAGTCTGGATACTTAATTCCTCAGTTTTACATTTGGTTTATAATAATTCAATCTTCAAAGACTTTTAAGAGTTGGATGTGGTGAAGGAACCGATCTGTATGGCTAACTTTTTCTTCTGGCAGGAAAAAAAAAAAAAAATTAGTACCTTTGTCATCCGTTAGCGGTGAGATGAAGAGTTCTGTTTAGTAATGCCATGCTTGAGACTTACTGAGCCGTCTCAAATGGAAAACCTGACACAGGAAGCTGGGGCGATACAGGATCTTAGAGAAATGGGTTCGAGAAGGCGATGCAGTGCCCTGTAGGGGCTCCGGGGCATCCTCCCCCAGAAAATGTTTGAAATTGTGGTCCTCGAAAATGGCATTTCCGGCATTCTGAGGCCAATAGAGCGTGTCATGATGTCTCATTTTTTTGTAATTTAGGGGGTTAAACCGAGCCCCCGAACACCCCTAGATCCGCCCCAGGGAAGACATTGCCACATACCTTGATGTTCTTTCTGAAGTCTGTCACTTCCCAGCTTGTTAGAGGATGTATGTCTTGTAAAAGTCTGAGTGCCCCGTCACTTCCATATGCAAACAGCACATCTGCAAACCCTGCCTCGGCGAGTAGAATAGGAGTTCCAAAGGTAGTGGGGACAATTGTCTCTCGGCAGTGATACTTCAGTATTTGATTCAGTGGATGCGTGGGAGGTAAGGTGCGTTTTAGGGAGACGCAGAATGGCTCTATGAAATAATGGACCTGAAACAAGTAGCTAAGATTAAAAAATGACCTAAAACTGATGACCTCAAATGCATGGTCAAAAATTATCACAGTTTTGCTTTGCAACCTTATTTTTTTGGTCCGTGAATCGTGTCCAGAGTCACACTGAGATCCTATTTGTAATTGTAGAATAACAAGAAAGAGATAACTTCTATTAAGGTCTAGTGAAAAATTACGTTGTTGCCGCTTTGGTTGTTGCGGACTCGTTGTTATTACGGTGATGATTCTGATGTCAGCAGCAAATGTCAGTACCATATTGTCGAATTACGTACATTGGCAACTACATAAGGTTTATGAGCAGAATACCGCTCTGTATTTCATTATGTAATAGCTTTTATTTCTCATTACTGTTGTTACCCTAGCAAGGTGCTCTGCAATTTGAGCATATCCGATGTCCGTGATTTGAACATTAAGTTTGGCCATCAACCAGTTGTCTCCATCTTCGGGGGTGTAAACTGCTGAATCTAGCGGAAACAAAGTTTAGGTTTCTGAATAAGCAACAAAGATGAGAAACATATATATCTCATGCGAAACGCCAGGAGGTAAGAAAAAGTCGCGTCTCCGGAGCTTCCTGTATCTCGCACTACTGGCACATCAGTGACAACAGTGGAACTGATATTTTTTAGTATACATATATCTTATTAACCAAGCGCGAGCGCCGTAGTGAGAGAATATAGGCCCGAGGTCTTGACAGTACGAGTAGAGTGTTACGAGTATCGTTGTAGAACAGGGTTGTTTCCAGACAGAACTCAGGATCACCGGTGACAGCAACAAACTAATTTATTTCCGTAAGATAACTTCACGAATTTACAGCACTAAGCTTCTTCAAATTTGAATCAATCTCTCTTACAGCAGAACCTC